GGGGGGGCTACGTACGCACGAGGTTACGAGAGTCCGTACGTCTAATTATGCTTATGTCCGGGTAGTTTAGGACCCAAATCATGTTATACTTGCGATGGTTGCACCCTACTTGTAATTTAAGTGCCTAAACCATATTGGAACTTTATAAAGGAATTGTAAAAGGCCGAATTTCATTTACTTGAGTTTTGGACGGGTTACATGACCGTTAATGAGAATTGGTATTTTCCTTGAATATTAGCCTCTTAATAATATTTGAATCGGTTATTTATAAAGTATTTTCTTTTCTTGTGGAGGGGGCCGAACGCCTCGGTAATAGAATAGATACATCTATGGTTCGTGTCGTTCGATCCTCGGCAGTGAACAGTTTATATATTTGTATGTTGGATCGAGCCGTATGACCTCGGCATAATTCGTGCGTAATAATTCTTGGAGCCCAATTGTAATTGATATTGTTTCATTGGCTTGAGAGATTAATTTGTTAAATGAAGGAAATTAATTTGGGATTTACTATTAGTGAAAGAATTGTTTATTTATTTCTTGCTATTGAGTTTTCAACTGTATTTCTATAATCCATGCTTAATTATAATTTCGGTATTTATTGTTAGCCCATAGTAAGTGTCGAAGTCGACCCCTCGTTGCTACTTCTTCGAAGTTAGACTAGATACTTATTGGGTATATGTTGCTTATATACTCATGCTACACTTTTGCACTAATCGTGCAGGATTTGAGGCAGGTGCATCTGGCTATCAATCCGGCGCGCATCCTTGATTTCTTCGAGACTTAGCGGTGAGCTGCCTTCCGAGCCCGTTCTGCAGCACCCAAAGTCTTCCTTTTGTTTTTACTTTTTGTCTATTTCACTTCAGACAATAGTGTAGTATTTTTGTATATTCTACTAGTAACTCATACACTTGTGACACCTAGTCTTGGAGATTATGATAGTAGACACATGATTATTTTTGGATATTTACTCATCTCATTTGCTCTTAAAATTATTTATCTCTCATTTTATTTGTACTTTTATTTCCTATTTATGCACTAAATAAAAATCAGCTATTTCTAAAATGTTAAAAGAAACAATCACATGGTTAGTTCACTGTTGGCTTGCCTAGCGGTAACGTTGGGCGCCATCATGGACTATAGGAGGAATTGGGTCGTGAACACATAGTATCAGAGCACTTGGTTCACGTAGGTGTCACAAGTTATGAGCATGCCTAATAGAGTCTTGTGGATCGGTGCGGAGACGTCTGTACTTATCTTCGAGAGGCTATAGGGTGTTAGGAAACTACTCTTTCTTCATCTCCTATCATGCAGTTGATGTTCTACAAAGTATCTTTCTCATATTTTCTCACAGATGGTGAGAAAGTGCACGGCGGATGTTCCAGACCCGGGAAGAGCTACTCCTCATGTTGCTAGAGGCCGAGGCAGAGGCCGGGGGAGGGCACTGTCCCGAGGTAAGGGACGAGGACATCCCAGAGTTGCCCCAGCTATGACACCAGTGGATCTGGTAGAGGATCCCATTATTGAGGAGCAGGGCGAGGTGCCTGCAGCAGAGCCAGCCCCGGTAGATTTCATGTCAGCACCGGGCTTTTAGGAGGTCATGGGCCGTATGCTACGGTTCATGGATACTATGACCCAGGCCGGTTTATTTCCGGCAGACCCAGCCACATCTCAGGCTAGAGGGGGAGCACATACCCATACTGCTCAGGCTCATGGGCATGCAACTGCTGTATATCAGACCCCGGGCACACTACCCATGGGCGGAGCCCAGCTAGTGGCAGCAGTCGTGCCTGAGCCCTGACCAGCTGCGGTCGGCGAGCCGTAGAAGCTATTGGATAGATGGACTAGGCTACACCCTCCTGTCTTCGGAGGTGAGCGACATAAGGATCCCCAGGACTTTATTGATCGGTGCAGGGACAGACTGCACAACATGAGTATATTAGAGACCCATGGGGTGGATTTTACTATTTTCCAGTTGGAGGGCAGGGCCCGTAGATGGTGGCAGTCTCATCTTCTTGGCAGACCAGCAGGTTCTTCTCCCTTGACTTGGGATCAGTTTGCACGCCTTTTCTTAGATAGGTATATTCCAACCTCCCAGAATGAAGAGTTGCGGTTTCAGTTTGAGCAGCTTCAGCAGGGTCAGATGTCAGTGACCGATTATGAGGCGAGATTCTCTGAGTTGTCTCGCCATGCACTTATGATACTTCCTACTGAGGCGGAGAAAGTACAGAGGTTTGTTGCGGGGTTGCACTCTGGTATTCAGGCCACTATGGCCCGAGAGGTTGAGATGGTGACTTCTTATTAGCTAGTTGTGGAGATAGCTCGGAGGATTGAGGGTTATCGTCAGTGGGGCCGAGAGCATATGCCACGGGACAAGCGGTTTTGTTATTCCGGAGGGTTCAGTGGTGCTCCGTCTTGGGGCAGAGGTCAGTTTAGGAGGGGTCAGCCTAGCAGGCCCACATATCCAGCACCGTTGCCTCCTCGGGGTGCTCTAGTTTGACCTTATTTCAGCGTCATGCCAGAGAGTTCCTACCGCCCACCAGCTATTTAGGGTTTCTCCAGTGGGTATTCAGGCCATCAGGGTCAGACTTCAGGTCAGCAGTCCTTCGTACCGAGAGGTTGTTTCGAGTCCGGGGAGTTCAGCCATGTGCGGAGGTTCTACCCCAGGCTTCGGGGCAAGGCAGTGCAGCAGGGTTCTCAGCCTATGATTACAGCACCACTGCACCAGTCGTCCGTCCACCCAGAGGCGGAGGGCAGGTGCATAGGGGCCATCCTAGAGGTGGAGGCCGGGCAGGTGGAGGCCAGCCAGGTGGCGCTCCAGCTAGATTATATGCTTTCTCAGCCAGACCAAATGCAGTGGCCTCAGATGCCGTGAT